TATATTCTTTTTATTTATTTACTCTCGATTCATTTTACTTATCTTATATATTCTAGTTAATTTTATAATTTTAATGGTATGGTATTTAAAATCTGATTATCGTAACTAAAATAACTGCAATGAATAACTGATGTAAGTACAACATGCAATTATTTCGATATTTATGATAATAATWATTATTTACATTATTATTACAAATTATTAAATATCTAAATAGATATAATATTATTATTATATGTATATGACATATGTATATAAATTGAATTAACTTGTAGAGAAATATAATATTTAAAGCAATCACCCTCAACCTATGGCCAATTTCATCCAATTCATTACAGCCGCCAATCTCCAAACCAAAATTTAGTTAATATTTAGATTTAGTAACTATACACAACATATAATATGTAATTKACCAATTATTTTCTCTGTAAGCCCAATGGCCCATGTTGCCGAGGGTATATATAATTTATAATATATGTGTGTGTTATGTTTAAAAGACACTTCGTCTCACTGTCACACAATTGCTATTAAAAATCCAATTACTAATTAGATATAAAATAATAATACATCTTTAAATAATAGTCATAATATACAATATTTAACGCTTAGTAATTATATTATTTAAGTTAAAATTTAGAGTTGACACGAACAATAATTAATTAGAGTGACCATTTTGAAAAATATAAAAATATTTTTTCATTTAGTTGGTACCACTTTTAATTTCATGTCGAGCATACGTATAATTTTGTTACAAATTTTTCAGTGTTGTATCCTCCGTAAAGAAGTTTTACTTTAAAAATCGTTTGTTTGTATCGTTAATATTTTTGAACTGCGATAAAAACTTACAAAAAATATCGTATCATGCTTTAAATTTTTTTTGACTCAATGAAAAAAAATTGCAATAACGTTTATAAATACCTATATTAAGAGTCAATATATTTTGATATTATTTTATGCATAGAAAATGTTTGTATGAACATTTGGTGAACATTTTAAGCATCTACTGTTTATCGTTTTTGAACTACAACAAAATAAGAAAATCGTTCGGCAAGAGTTGTTAATTTACGGGTGAATATCCAATGTCGTAAAACTTTAAACTTCAAATGCCCATAAAAAATTAATGTGACTTTTTGGTAAACTTTTTTCTGTTAAAGATRGAAAAACATATAAGAAATTTAATATTGCATTTTCAAATCTCAGATATGAAAGAAAATTTTTTATGAATTTTCAACTCAAAATGATTTGC